GCGTCGACTTCATATTAAATATTTTGTCTACGTGGGTTTTTTATTATTATTTTAGATGTTTGACTTTTTTTAATAAATAAATCTGATACCAAATATATTTGGTCACGAATACTACTACTATTAGGTAACAATTACCACTCTTCGTTTACTACCATTTTTTGGTAGTAAATGCGACTATCCACACTTGTATGTTTATGCTCAAGTCTGATTACCAATATATTTGGTTACGAATACTACTACTACTAGATCACAATTACCACTTTTCGTTTACTACCGTTTTTTGGTAGTAAATGCAACTATTTATACTTGTATATTTATGCTCAAGTCTAGGTGTTGATACTTTTTTCCATTTCTTCGGTCACCTGTAGAGATCAGTGTCACACAACATACCACCCTAAAATTCACACAAACCTAATTCACACATACAAGATATCACAAACTGAGTTCATACTTAATATTATCTATCGAGTTCACACATCTAATCCCAAACCAAGTTCAAAATTAATACATACGACAACTGAGACCAACATTCACAAACCTTTTGTTCCACGACCTCCTCGCCCTTTTCCTCCTCGTCCTCTTCCTCCTCTTCCTCTTCTTCCTCCTCTTCCTCTTATGATTCCACCTTTCGAATTGATAGTCTTCAAAGTATCAGCCCAAGGACTCGTCGTTTTATGCGAGGTACAAGTTCTCCTTGGTCTTTCTTCCTTCTTGGCCTCTTCTATTTTTTGTTCTTGTTTTTTCTCATCCCCTTCTTCGTTGTCTTCTTCATCTTCATCATCATTTTTTTCTTGTTCATCTTGAGCATTTTCTTCATCTTCTTTGTCTGCTTCTTTCTCTCCCTCTATGTCTGTTTCTTTCCCTCCCTCTTTCTCAACTTCTTTCTCTCCCTCTGTGTATGCTTTTCTCTCTCTCTCTTTCTCAGATTCTTTCTCTCCCTCCTTCTCTTTCTCTCCCTCTTTCCCAGTTTCTTTCTCAACTCCTCCCTCTTTCTCATTGACTGCTTCTTTCTCCGCTTCTTTTCTCTGTTCTTGTTTCTCACTTTCAACCACTATTGGATCATCTTTTTCTTCTTGTTCTTTTCTCTCTCTTACTACGGTTTCTTCTTCTTCCACTCCTTCTGTCTGGTCTAATGCGTTAAGAACATCAAAAATCACCATGTCCGGTTCACCATCCACATCTTCTCTATGCAGACATGTCTCGGGAGGGGTTGTTGTGTATTGGGCTGAAGTCTCACCCTTTATATAAATGATTGTATTCAACCATATTCTAACTGTTTAATCATTAACCAAAAGTTTCGAACTTATATAAAAAACCAACTCTCTTTCCATTTTTCTATCCATTCGAAGAAAGTTCAGAAAAAAAATACTCACATATGAATTCAGAGAAGAATCCTCGATCCTTTTTCTATGCGAATCTGTTTTTTCGAACGACCCTGATGAATCACTTCCATGTGAGGCTTCGCCACTTGACAAAGATGAATCACTTCCATGTGACCCTTCTACACTCGATCTCGGTGGATTTCGCTCCATTTCACCAGATTTCTGAAAATTTTCGCACTTCACCCGCGCTCTCGGTGTTTCTCTGTTTGTTTTCGAAAGTATAGTAAAAAACCCTAAATATTTTTTTTCCTTTCTACTCTGGCAAATGGGCCCCTGGCAAATCTGATGGACTTTCACCCACTCGCACACGTGTTTTTTCTCACACGCTCATTTTTATTAAGGGCAACAAAGACTTTTCCAACTTTTATAAGGGCATCTTTGTCTTTTGTTAATTCCTTATGTTTTTAGGGTGTATCTATGATACATGTGCGACGCATTAGGGGTAACGGTGAAGTTTGCCCTTTGCATTCTGACGATCTGTTTGTCTGTGACTCGAACTCCTTTGTAATTGTATGCTTTGTTGTGTGAAATGTATCTCCTCTGTGGCCTCGAATTGTTTAAGTCTTGAGTTTTGATCTCGGTTCAGTCGAACCGCACCTAATTCGTCCAAACCATTGAAATGAGGAAACAAATATATGTTTAAGAACCACACCTAATTCATCCAAAGGAAACAAATATACATTTAAATTCGTCCAAAGGAAACAAATATACATTTAAGAAGATTAATCTAAGAAGATTAAAGTTGGTTGGAAATGATTTGAAGATGATTGAGAAGATTAAAAATGATTGGAAATGATTTGAGGATGATTGAGAGAAATTAAAGATATAAAATTAATTAACAAATAATGATAATTGTGTTAATTATCTCTTGATTTATTTGTTTTCATCATATATTATTTTTCTTGTAAATTTTTTTAATTATTTTGATATTATTTTTTATAAATAGATGATTTATTTTCATTGTAAAATAATAAGAAGAAGAGATGTAGTAAAAAACGTGTTGAACGATCATTGGCGGATTCGACTACGGACCCACAGATATCGGGCGACTCTACCCTACCCACAACAACACAACCTGGTAAGAACCCTTCTACCTAGAGCAATCTCTTGCAGAGTTCAATCCGCACTTTGCGGAAAATAGGAACCCCAGAAACTCATTCCTCTGGTATTCCTATGGTCCATTTCACTTCTGAGATGCTCCAAGCTGCAAAGGGTGAATGGGAGGACTTCATCATAGGCTAGTTCTACGGGAAGCCACCTACGATGGGTAAAATAATCGGGGTCGTAAATGCGATCTGGTCGAAGGGAAGAGCGAGGATCCGCGTTCATTCAATGGGGAGAGGAACATTCCTCTTCAAAATGCCGAGCGCTCATATGAAGTCCGAAATACTGAAGAAAAATCTATGGTATATAGGAGACTGCCCAATGTATATCTCAACATGGGATCCACAACACAAACCGGAGAAACCAGCACTGCTCTCTGTGCCGACTTGGGTAACGTTCTCTAATCTACCGGAAAAGCTATTTGACAGAGACAATCTGAGTAGGCTCGCAACCTGCGTCGGAGAACCTCTGTACCTGCATCCATTAACAGAGAGTAAGGAATCCTTTTACTTTGCGAGAATTTATGTTTAGGTAAGTTTGGCCAGACCTCCGCCCAAGGAAATCGCTATCACCCTTCCGGGGGATGAAGAGAGAATGATCAGAGTATCATATGAATGGTTACCTCCGAGTTGCTCTAACTGCCTTGAGGTTGGACATAATGCCAGACATTGCCCGATTCCTATCTCTCCGGAAAAAATACCACGGCCAGGGCACCATACTCAGCAATGGAAGC